AGGCCTTGAGACGGAAGGCGCGCGACCAGCTGGACACGGACTGGGTTGAGTACATCATGGACGACCTGCACGCAGCGCTCAAGACTACCCCCCTGCAGACAGCACAGTCCACGGACCAATGGTCACGTGCGTCTCTCCAGGCGGTCAGCCAGCCAGCGAAGCATGAGTTCGTTCAGCTGTTGAACACGCGCGTCAGCAAGCTCTCCTGGCCATACCAGCTCATGCAGATCTGGATCTGCCTCCTTGCCAAAGGAGAGGCAATTACCACGGGCGATGAAAGGCCCATCGGCTTACTGCCCATGCCTGCTCGAGTATGGGGGCGAATGGACCGTTGCCTCACAGCCCAATGGTGCGACGCCAAGGCTGGCTTCTGGGACAAGGCCATCAAAGGCACGTCGTCACTGCAGGCGGCGCTGACTACCCTCATCTTGGACGACATTTCGGCAGTGCGAGGCGACACAGAAGTTGCCACTTTCTTCTTGGACATCGTGATATTCTATGACCACGTGGATATCAGCTTACTGTGCGCCCTCGCAACCAAGCTGGACTTCTCCCCAGTGGTGCTCTGCATGTCATGTCTGCTGTACCTTAGCCCACGCATCATTAGTGTTCGAGATGTCTACAGCTCTGGTGTAATCATCCCCCACAACGGGCTGCTTGCTGGGTGCACGGAGGCGAACAACATGGCTCGGGCTTACCTCTATGACCTACTGGAGCACGTGCACCTGCGCTACCAGGGCCTCATGATGCGAAAGTTCGTGGACGATCTCATGGTACGTGCCGAAGGGCACCGCTCCCTCGTTCGCTACCAAATAAAACAAAGCTCGGCAGCTCTTGTGGACGGCATTCAGAAGTTAGGCTTGAAGGTCTCTGAGAAGACTGTCATCCTCGGCCACCGCTCCGCCCAGCAGGCAGTCATCAAGTCGATACGCAAAGTGGGAGTCACCATACGTGCGGCCAAGACAACCAGAGACCTCGGCTTCGACTCGACGGCGGGCAGAGCGAGGCGCACCCCGGCGGCAGCCAAGAGAGCCAGAGCGACGGCGAAAAGGTTCCGAAGGGCGCAGATCTTTCAGAGACGTGGAGTGGGACGGGAAGTTACTGCAAGGCTCTACACCGCCAACCTTCGCGCCAAGCGGATCTACGACGCCTCGGCCATGGGGCTACCCGCGACCAGTCAAGCAAGAGCGCGCCACGGCAGCTACCATGGCAGGCTTCACGGTGGGAGGCAGATGCACGTCGACCATTATGCTCCATATCTACGACCAGCAAGACCCTCTTTCCTTCAATCTGAGACGCCAGATCACGGAGTGGTTCACCTTCTGGGCGCAGCAGCCGCCGTACCATTCTCGTGTGCGGCTCGGATGGCAAGCTGTCTTTGACAAGATGGCCAAGGTGCGAGCCAAATCGAAGTGGCGCTCGGTCACTGGACCTATGGGCGCCCTCATCGTCGGCACGGGCGAGATCGGCTGGCAGCTTCGCCACCCTGACCGCTGGACAGACCCAGAAGGCAATGATTGGGTATACAACCCTGACGACCCAGACTTGCATTCTCTCTTTGACGCAGTTCATGCTCAAGTTACAGCAGGCCTGTGGAAGCAAGCTGGTCAGCACCCTGAGGGTTTTGGCTGCGAGCAAGGAGGCCATTTACAAGCGACGCAGCGCACTTTGCGCTGGATGCGGCGCAAGAAGTTCTTCAAGGAGGCTGGAGCCCTGGAGAACATCGTTACTGGAAGTTGTTGGACTGCCCAGCGCACCTCCACTGCGGGCTACGATTGTCCAGCCTTGTGCCCGCGCTGTGGACAAGCAGCTGAAGACTTGCTGCACCGATGCTATCAGTGCGAGAGAAACGACGACATCGACCATGACTGGGTCCGGCGCACCCAGGACCTCAAGAGCAGAGCCGTTCTGTCTATGAGTGATGAGACTGACATGAAGATGTTCTGGTGCAGGGGTATTCTGCCAGCCAGGCTCAATAAGGTTCCAGAGGCCCCAATTTGGAATGAAGCCCAGACAGTCTACGATGTCGACATGCCTTTCATGGCCCCCCAGTTCGAGAGCTACACCAGCATCAGCGGTCACCCGATCCAGGCCCAGCGGGCCTACCTCGACGGCTCGGTCAACTCGGCTGATGCTCGTATCGCTCGTGGAGGGTGGGGGGTTGCTTTTGACTTCAACGTGACTCCAGCTGAAGATTGTTTCCCAAGGCTCTACGGTTCCATCGACGGCCAACAGACGGTCCCGTGTGCAGAGTTGGCTGCCTTGTACTACTGTCTCCTCTACACCCAGGGGGCCCTCGAGATCTGGACCGACAACGCCTTGGTGTACCGTGGTTGGAATTCTCGAATGTGGCTCTACCCTCGAGGCCCCCATAAGCAGTGGTGACAGCGGATCAAGCAGGCTATCCTCCAGAGGCCCGACAGGATCTCCAATGCCAGCGTGAAGAAGTGTAACTCTCATCTTGGCGCCGTGAGCCTGAGCGTAGCCTCCCAGCCCTGGTATGTCACACTAGGTAACGAACGAGCTGATGCTCTGGCCCAGAGAGGCCTCGGGAACGCCCTGAACTTGATCCAGCCTCAATTAGATTCTTTGAAGGACGATGAAGCCCTCCTGCAACGGGTCCATAAGCGTCTGGCTGCTGTAGCTACTGCTGGTAACTCGCTGCCCAGGGTCAAGCACCAGCGTCATTTGGTTGCGCGGAACCGCCACAGGCCTGTGAATGTAGTCGCGCTTCGGCAGGAGATTGAGCGTGCCACGGGCCACTGCATGCAACAGCACCCGATGGATAGGAAACGCTGGTTTTGCTTCCATTGTAAGCTTAGCCCAATGCGAGAAGCCGTCGAAAGCTGGATGCAAGCCCACCCGTGCAAGGGAAGAGCGCTTGCTTCTTGTTATAATGTGCCTCTGCCGATTCCGCCCTCCGCGTACCCCTCACTTACAGTTGGAGGTAAGACGATACGCCCGACTCATTCGGTGCAAGTAATGAATGGTCAGCTTTGGTGTATGAAGTGCGCGAGGCTCGGTAGTTGCACGAGCACTGGAGGTGGCAAGCTCAACCAACTTCCCGCCCCTTGTCCAGGTGGAGTGGGCACTGACAGTGGACGGGAGCCTTTGCGTAGGTTAGCAAACTGTCAGCCACCGAATGTTTCGGCCAAGCTTTGGCCCTCGGGGGACCCCATTAAACCCTTCAAAGCCTGCAAAATCAAGCGTGCACGCCCGATGTAAGAGGCTCGGTCGCAAGGGCCGCGGCGTGTCCCAGGCCACGACCGCGCCCCCTCGGTGGGCCGATCCTCCTCCTCATCCTCCTCCTCCTCCTCTTCCTCCTCCTCCCCCTCCTCCTCCTCCTCCTCCTCCTCCTCATCCTCTTCCTCCTCCTCCCCCTCCCTCCTCCTCCGTCTCTGTCCTCTTCCCTCCTCCTCCTCCTCTCCTCCTCCCTCCTCCCTCCTCCTCCTCCTCCCCCTCCTCCTCCTCCTCCCCTCCTCCTCCTCCTCCTCCTCCTCCTCCTCCTCCTCCTCCTCCCCTCCCCTCATCCCTCATCCCCTCCTCCTCCTCCTCCTCCCTCCTCCTCCCTCCTCCTCCTCCTCCCCCTCCCCCTCCCCTCCTCCTCCTCCTCCTCCTCCTCCTCTCCTCCTCCTCCTCCTCCTCCTCCTCCTCCCCCTCTTCCTCCTCCTCCTCCTCCTCCTCCTCCCTCCTTCCTCCTCCTCCTCTCCTCCTCCTCCTCCTCCCTCATCCTCCTCCCTCCTCCTCCTCCCTCCCTCCCTCCTCCTCCTCCTTCTCCTCTCCTCCTCTCTGCCCCTCCCCCTCCCCACCCCCACCTCCACCTCCCCATCCTCCTCCTCCTCCTCCTCCTCCTCCTCCTCCGCCTCCTCCTCCTCCTCCTCCTCCTCCTCCTCCTCCTCCTCCTCCTCCTCCTCCTCCCCCCCTCCTCCTCCTGCTCCTCCTCCTCCTCCTCCTCCTCCTCCTCCTCCTCCTCCTCCTCCTCCTCCCCCTCCTCCTCCTCCTCCTCCTCCTCCTCCTCCCTCCTCCTCTCCTCCCTCCTCCTCCCTCCTCCCTCCCCCTCCTCCCTCCTCTCCTCCTCCTCCTCCTCCTCTCCTCCTCCTCCTCCTCCTCCTCCTCTGTCCTCCTCTGTCCTCTGTCCTCCTCCTCCTCCTCCTCCTCCTCCTCCTCCTCCTTGTCCTCCTTGTCCTCCTCCTCCTCCTCCTCCTCCTCCTGCTCCTTCTCCTTGTGCCCCGGGGGGCCCGAGTCGAGTTGCTCATGCACCGCCGAAGCTGAAGTTTGCTCGTGCAACGAGTTTCGATGCGTTGCTGTCTCGGACGGCGCACGATGTGGTGCGGCCAAAAGGTCGTTGGGGAAGGAGGGCTCCCGATTCTCGTGCCGACGCTGCCTGGAAAGCCGCAATGGTGCTCGCCATGAGGTGGAGGGCTGGTTGGCTTCCCAGTGCGTGCCTGTTCGAGCCGAGGTTTCGCAGAATCAACTTCCTGTGCCGCTTGCAACTAAGGTGTCGGACAGAGCGACAGACTCCAGCCATGCTGCCCGAACATTTTGCCAGGTGCCTACCTTGTTCTGTTCGACGTGCGGGCTGTGCACGGCCAGCGAAGATGGAGTCCTCTATGGCCTGGCGGAGGATGCCGACATCCTACCAAGGCAGCGGTCGTCAACCTGCAGCTGCTGGAGAGAGGAGCATGGCCAAGGCACACTCGAACAACTAAACAATTCAACGGTCCCTCCCAGCCGCGAAGCGGCCTCACGAAGACGGAGGCACCCATAGACATGCCCCAGGACACTGTCCACCCACGGAGAAAAAATATCCTCTGATTCCTCCTCTTCCTCCTCCTCCTCCTCCTCCTCCTCCTCCTCCTCCTCCTCCTCATTCTCCTCCTCCTCTGTTTGACGTTCGGCGGACTTTAGCAACTGGGCTGTGGCGTTCCTCCTCCTCCCTCCCTCCCTCCCTCCCTCCCTCCCTCCCTCCCTCCCTCCCTCCCTCCCTCCTCCCGCGGATCTGCGGCCGCTGGCCCCGCTGGCCGCCTCGAGCCGCAACGGCCCTGAATCCCAGCCGGGGGCCCGCAGGTGGCGCGCCGCCGCGGCTGGCGAGGCGCCGCGGGCCGCGGCCCCGCCCCCCGAGGCCGCTCTCGGGCGCTCCACCTGCGGCTCTCCCCCTGCAGGGGGATTTGGGGGCCGAAAAATAAGAGATACTCCAACAAAAAACACCCGAATGGGCAAACATAGTCAAGACATCGTCCCCTGACTATTTTTGACTATTCTTGAATATTCCCCCTGTGGGGCCCTCCCCTTCCTTGGGGCCCTCCCCTTGACTTGGGGCCCTCCCCTTGGGGCCCTCCCCTTCCTCGTCCGTCCTTACCTCCCTCCCTCCTTCGAGCTTCGAGCTGTGTACCAATTGGCTCTCCAGCCCCTGAGCCATCTCTGAGGCCACAGCGGGCCTGCCAGAAGGCGCGACGGCTTCTGAGAAGCCCCACCGCCTTCTCGGAAGGCTGGCTCCCCCTCACGTACCCCCTCGGCGCGACGCCGATATTGCATACACAACCACCATGCCTGGCCACGCACGGTGGGAGCGTGCGGATGTTCGTGTCGTGACGACCCCGGCGATGGTTTCTGACACCGCGTGGATCGATCAACCTTGAACGATCGGTGGCTTTTCGATCGCCAGACAGTTCCATACTGGCTGCTTCCAGGCCGCTGGCGGCGTTCAACCATGAATGCCGGCGCTGGGGTCGCCGCCGCATCGACACGACCGTAGGCTAAGAATTCTTGCTGCCAGAAATCTAGGGGCGCACTGTCTGTTCAATTTTGGGCATCGCTGCACCATCAAGTCCGACGGGCGCCCAGGGTATAAAGAATCTCTGTGGGGCACCTGCTGGCAGGCGGGCTTCATACTTGGTGCGCCTTCTGTACCTCCTCGCGTCGCGGCACAATCGCGGCGGCGGGATTCTGACAATTTTCCACATCTTTCGAGAGTCCTTCAACACGGCCCCCCAAGGCCGTCAAACAGTAGGCTGGGGACAAAAAGACCGGCTCTCGGGAAAGAGGCCCAGACCTCTGGGGGTGCGCGCCGTGAGGAAATCGCGCCCTTAGAGTTCTGGGGCCCTGGCCAGGCGCGGGGGCAGTACCCTGATGCCTTCTGCGGAGTGCATTGCCGAGGGCAGACGAGTCAACCTCATCAGAGGTACCCCCGCAAGCGAAGCACTGTATTAGGCGCACCCAAGGAAGGAATCGAACAGGGCAGAACTGTCTCAACCGCCCAGAACTGTCCAGCAAACGCAAGTGATCGTGATCGGGGTCGGGGCTGTTTGTCGGAGCATGGCGAGTTGAGACAACGGCAACTCAGAATCGGTCCCCAGACCCCTCCCAGGATCCAGACGTATCAATTTTCCGAGCTGCGCCCAGCCGTGGCGACGAGCCCCCTCTCCCCCCGAAGGCTAACTTATACGTTGTCTCAGCTCGCCCTCCTCTGAGGTTGTCCTCCCTTCGATGCAGGGTCATTCGGGAATTGGGCGGCTCGCAAAGAGGCGGCGGGAGAGCCGCCGTTGTCTCAGCTGCCCCTCGTCCGCACAGCTAACCCAAGAGGCACGCGGATGCCTGCGAAAGGCCATGCGGGAGCAGAGGTCGACCGCCCGAGAAAAACACAACGCCGCGTCGTGCCCAAGGTTTGCGCGGCCGGCCCGTGGTCCTACGGGGCGGTGCCAACAGGTGGGCAGGACGCCAGGGACGGGAGCAGCAGGCAGAGAGGGCAGATAGCAGAAACAAGGCACACTCAACTCCGTCGGATTGGGGACCTCGACTCTGGACCCCCGCGGCTGCATCTTCTACTCCGCCTCCTTCTCCTCCCTCGCCTATTCCTTATCTTGCTCCTGTCTCCACCAGAATGAGGAGGAAAGATGACGTGGACGAGGTGGCGAAGAGGGAGCGGATGGACGTAGAGGAGCGTGTGGAGGACGAGCAGGGGCGAGCACGTTGAGGAGGAGGCCGTGGAGGAGGTAATATGGCTCGGAGGCGTCTTAACCCCGTCATTGGAAGCATGGTGGACGCAAGTGTCCATCGTCGTTGACACCTAAGGTCAGGGCAATTCATTGACTCTTGGGACAACGAGACGTCGTGAACCGGGGGCGTCCCGGTAACGCCGCTGGTGCAGTCCACTTACCATGCCCTGCCTATAGTGTGGCAGTATGGCTTGGACATTGTGCCCGCTGGGGCAATGTTGTAGCGGATGACTGAAATCTTCAGGCCTCTACGAAGCGCAAGCCAGACCGCTGGAAAGACTGAAGAGATTCCCTTACGCTTTCGAGGGGGATCCTGAAGCGGGGGGGAGTCTGGCTGAGTGTTCACACATACTGCCTCCCGCTGAGCTTGAGAACTCAGTCGTGCCGCACCAGGGGTGGCAGGATGATGTGGAGGACATGTTTCCTGAGCCCAAGAGACCTGTGGATGATGAGGTGGAGGATGAGGAGAAGGAGGAGGAGGAGGAGGAGGACGACGACGGGGAGGAGGGGGACTGACTGACTGACTGACTGACTGACTGACTGGCACACTGACTGACTACTGGTGCGCTCTGGCTCGCAGCCCCAATGGGCCAGAGGGGTGCTAAGATCTCCGGCAACATGTCAACAGTATATCTCTAGTTCGCGCGCGCGGGGCGGCCCCTGGGGGCCCACGGGGATGCCAGCACTCCACAGGGGGGCGGTCCCCAAGGCCTCCCAAAGCGCTCCAGGAGCGCCCCAGGGGACCCTAAAGGATCTCCCAGGGGACCCCAAGAGTCGGGAACAATGGTTGGCAGGCCCCAAGATGGCCCAAAGACGGCCGCAGGCCCCAGCCTCAAGATGGTCCAAGAAAGCGCCATGAGGGCCCCCAGAGGCTCAATGTCATTGGTTTCCTCAGATGTTTGAAAAAAGTTGGAGCTACCCTCTTCGGCCTTCCGACTGCCCAAGAGCCCACGAGGCCCAAGATCGCCCCCAGACAGCTCAAGAGGCTTCAAGGACGGCCCAACAGGGCCCTAAGACGGTCGAAGAGGTCCCCCAAGAGGCTCCAGAGGCCCCTAAGATAGCCCCACGAGGAGAATCCGAACTGCCATTTGGAACCCGTTCCCCCGAAGATGGCCTCCGAGACCGCCAGCGAGCCCCAAAGGGGCCCCTAAGACGCTCCCAAAGATCCCCTAACACACCCCCGAGAGGCCTCCAAGAGGCCCAACATACCGCCACGAGGCCCCCGAAAGGCTCGCAAGAAGACTCCAACAAGCCTCCCAAGAAGGCCTCTGATCCACGACCGAATCTGCCGAAAACCACTTCACACTAAATACAGTATGAGCCGGCAGGCTGAGCGAAGCGATTGAACAACTTATCTGGCCCCAAACCCAAATGATCTGGGGGTCGCGGGTGGCCACAAGGCCAAAGCTTATTGTCCACCCTGTCTGATCTCATCTGTTTGCACGGCAGCTGCGCGCCGCTGTGAAGGTCTTTGAGGAGGTGGCGGGGATATCCGAGGTTCTCCTGACCTGGCTGACCCAGCAGTCGCCCTGCGCAGCCACCGCTGGTGCTGTCGTGCTCGTGGGACGTCTTTGCAAATGTCTGCGCCGACTGGGCCAACACTGGCAGTGGACTCCCGAACGCTGCTGGACAGGGAAAACTCTCGATCGCGCTCGCACCGTGTGCTGGTCTGCAGCCCACCTGGGTCGTCGCAGAAGCTTGAGCATCCAGGCCCCGAGTGCGCCGCGGGTCCCGCGGAGACGCTCGGCAACTGTTCGAGCCAGGGGCCGATCCGCGGCACGAGGACGGCAAGGACGAGGAGGAGGAGGACGAGGAGGAGGAGGAAGAGGATGAGGAGGAGGAGGAGGAAGAGGAGGGGGTGGAATATACATGGAGGAAGAGAAGGAGGACAGGAGGAACGGAGAAGGAATCTCACGTTATTGATCAAAAACACATTATCTTTTCTGAAGAAATAATAGGATCTACCCAGACGTAACGGTGCCCGTTTTCCGTATTGCATTTGCGTATGAATATGCCTCATCGTCCATCATATATATATATACATGAACTCGCAGCATCCCAGGCAAGCCGGTATCGCCCCCCCCAGGCATCCTCTGCAACAGATACTATACGCGCGCACTCGTTTACCAGAAATCATCAATTTTCAAAACGTCCTTTGCACATCGCGGGACAGAATGTACACGCGCGCGTCGTCGCGCGCGCATGCCAAAATTCTTTGACAACCTTGGGTGTTGCAAGGATTGCAAAATCGACTGTCCCGAAAACACATAAGAGTAACACATGCGCGCGCTCCTGCGGATTTTTTTAATGAAGAACAACCATCCAACGAATTCATAACATACTACCGAAAAAAAAGGGCTTCGCGCGCGCATGTCGAAATCGCCGGAACGCCCTTGCGCGCGTGCTGTCGCAAGAACCCTCTGCAAAAACCGGGACGATGTGCAGGGGCGCGCGTCATAGCGCGCGCGCATGCCGAAATCTTGCAACAGAACACGGGCGTTTTCGTAGAAATGTCAAAATCGAATGTCCTGAAACATATCAGAACATATGGTTTCGCAACGTCCGTTTTCAACAAAAAACCCTGCGGTCGTGCTCTTGGGAATCTTTTATGTTATGAAAAAAAACGATAGGTTTTCAGCATTTTCACTGAATTCTGCCAAAAGGGCCTCTCGCGCCGCATGTCAAAATCATTCGAACGCCCTTGCGCGCGTGCTGAGGGACACGATCCGTGTCATATAACCCCATGCGCCCATGCGGGCCACTCTCGCGCGTCGGCCGCGCGCGCATGTCGAACTCCTTCCAAGCCTTCATCGTCGACGCGAGGACGCCGTCATCGTCGTCGGCGTAATCAGCATCGGCGCCGTCACTGGCCGTGCTGTCGTCGCTGTCAGCATCGCCACCAGCATCGCTACTACTACTGTCATCATCATCATCATCATCATCATCATCATCATCGTGTTTCCCGTTGTCGGCGGTGCCATGATACCGCGCCCGTCCAAGGCGTCGACTCGCACTGAAGATCAGCTGGGAAGTGCCCAGCGATC